GGAACCCAAAGGAACTATGAGATGCCCATGACCAGCCAATGAAATCATGGAACCCAAAGGAACCATGAGGAACCCAAAGGAACTATAAGGAACCCAAAGGACCCATGAGATGCCCATGACCAGCAAATGAAACCATGGAACCCAAGAGAACCATGAAGAACCCAAAGAAACCATGAGGAACCCAAAGGACCCATGAGATGCCCATGACCAGCCAAAGAAACCATGGAACCCAAGAGAACCATGAGGAACCCAAAGGACGCATGAGGAGCCCAAAGGACCCATGAGCTGCCCATGACCAGCCAAAGAAACCATGAAACCCAAAGGACCCATGAGATGTTGAGGAGCCCCAGGCTGGGGCTGTGGATGTGCCCTCTGGGAGGGGACAGCCCGGGGCACTCACTGAGCACGTTGACGTTGGCGCTGGCCAGGATGGTGCCGTGCTTGTTGGTGGCCTCGCACTGGAACACGGCGCTGTCCTGCAGCTGCAGGTTGGTCAGGCTGATCTCCCTGGTGGAGATTCTCCCTCGGAAGGTCCTGCCTGGAAAACACCAGATTGCGTCAGCAGCTGGAGCAGCACCATGACTGGAAAGCTCCCAGGCTCTCCTCACGGCTTGGAAGGCAAAGGAAAGAACATCTTGAGGTTCCAACCAAAACCAAACCCAAGAGCTGGTGAGTTCCAGGGCTCTGCCTTTGCCAGCAGTCCCACGGCCTGAGGGAAGCGCTCCAGAGCACCAAATTCCAGTAATTTCACCACAGAGATTTTTTTAATTATAATATTCCTACACCAGTGTTCCCCAGCCACTTGGGCTTACTCAGAAGCACAAAGGAGCCCTTGAGGGGTCCCAGATCCCCAAAAGATGGGAGAGTTACTGGGCAGCACCTCAGAGGTACCACAGCTCCACACGTGCAATGTTCACCATCACCCTCTTCAAGAATCCTATTTAAACATTAGTTTATTTAAGTAAATAAACAATTCATATCTAAAGAAGTGCCAAACCAGACATCATTTTGTGTGTTAGGACTTGTGGTCCCCTCAAACTGGGTGATACAGAGACACATTGTCACCACCATATTTTCTTAAAAATCCCTTTGCCAGGATTTCTTCTCCTGGGAAGCTGAGAAGCCCCAGAGAAAAATTAAAATAATAATTATCTGTTTCACTTCTCCAGTGTTTTGCTGCTTTGGAATGTGGTTTGGACATTGTTTACCAACTGGTCGTTGTTTCATCAGTTTCATGTGAATTGTTTTGACTTAATGACCAATCACAGCCAGGCTGTGTCAGGATTATGAGGAGAGAATCACAAGCTTTTAATTATCATTCTTTGTGGCCCTCTGGCTGTATGCTTTCTCTATTCTTTAGTATAGTTTTAGTATAGGATATAATATGATATAATATTATATGATATGATATGATATAATATGATATGATATGATATAATATAATATAACGTAATGTAACGTAATATATATAATATCAATAATATAATATTAAAAATATAGTAAAATAAAATACTAAATTAGCTTTCTAAGAACATGGAGTCAGATTCAGCATCCCTTCCTGCCATGAGGAACCCCGAAAATTCCCCAGCAGGGCCTGGAGGAGCAGCCTGGCCCCTGCACCTACCATCGATGGGCCTCCCGTTGAGCTTCCACTGGATGCTGGGCTCGGGGTTCCCGATGGCCTCGCACAGCAGCACCAGGTTTGTCCCCACGCTGTAGACCCCACCCTCGGGCTTCTTCAGCCACTGGGGAGGCTCTGGGGAAAGAGACAGAGCAGGGATCAGTTGATGCTTTTTGGGGCTGCCTAAGAACAGAGGCTAATCTAAATTAAGGGAATAAAAAGCCGTGATATTTATTGAAGGGCCCTCAGGTACATTTAGGGCAGCCCCAGGGGCTACACCTAAAAATGGATGATGGGTCAGGGTTTGCACACTTTTATAAATTTGGTCCATGTGCATTTTGGGGGTGAATCTGCCAATTCCAGCTTCAGGTAATGAAGTCATTCACCCCAAGTTTGCTCCCCCAACTCACTTTTGTTGCCATCTCTGGGCCCTGAGGCAGTGAGGTGTCCTTGATTGCCAGGCCTGGAGAGGAATTGTTGTGTCTGCCCCAAATGGGAAAGAAGCAGCTCACACTGTGTGTGGAGTTTGGAGTTACACACTAAAGAACTGCAGGGTTACAGAGAGATGGAAAATAGAAAAGCTGAAATCCTGAGGCACCACAGTCTCAGCCCCTCTGCTGTTGCTGGGATTCTCCAGGAGATGGCAAACGCCACCAACACTTCCCAGCCGCTGCTCACAGCCCATCCATCAATGGCTGAGCTGCATTCCTTGGGTTTCCCGGGTAAAGGAAAGGGGAAATTGGTATCAGCACCCGCCAGGGCTGTCCTGCAGGCTGGGTGGGTGCCAGGCAGGGTGGAGGAACGGGCAGTGCCCATCCAAGTGGGAAATGAATGCACAGGGAAGGAGAGGCTGGGAGGGAGGGAACGGGTTGGCATTTCCGCAAGGACCCTCAGATGTGAGTGTGATCTATGAATTAAGGTGAGGCTATTGCAGCAAGACAAACAAGGTGGGAACATTCGTCCAGCTCAAATTCCCCTCCATAGGCATGAGCAAGTGGCTCCCCTCACCTTCCCTGGGAGCTGACAGAGCTCCAGGACAGCACTGACCCACCTTTGATCCACCTGCCCCTCTCCCTGGGCTGAGGAAATGCACCATCACCTTGATTTCCTGTTTTTCCGTGCTGTACTCAGACCAGAGGCTGATCCATACCACATTTAGGAGTGGTGAAATGTTTTCTCGTGGATGGAGATGCGTGGTTTGGGTGCCCACACGGTGGTGGTAGAGGAGCAGCCATGTGCTGCTGCATTCCCCATGTTCCCGGGAAGCTCTGGGAAAACTCTGCTCTGCAGAGCAGCCCCTGAGCATCAGGTACCCAAACCTCGTGTGGAACAGACATCCACAGTGAGGGAAGGGAAATGAAGGGGAGAAAGGGGAATTTATCTCATAAATGCTTAGTTCTGACTGAACACAAGTCCCTGAGCCCTCAACCCAAAACACAGCCTTGAATTCATCATTTCCCCTTGAAAAGCACCACACTTCGAGATTTTAACACCAGACCTGACACTGCCTCTTCTGCAAGTGCTGGGAAGATCATTGGGCATCTTTCCCTACTAAAAAGGTGAGGTAATGTAGGGAAAACCTGAGGATTCATTAGTTAATGCTCATGAAATGCTTTGAAGATTAACAGAGCTGTTGCCTGGGAATACAGCAACAGATGTTATCAGTGAGATATGCTAAAGCAAAACATCACTGCTCACATTCACACAGATATTTTACAAAAAAAACACCCCTAAAGTGGGGTGCATTTCCACACCCAGAACAGTATTCCCACAGGAGAGCACCCAGGAATGGTTTAATTAATATATAAAGACTAAAGTCAAATTCAAACCACTAAAGCTTATTTAAAATGATAAAATCATCCCACTTCCTTCACACAGCAGGGATTTTTCTACCAACATCCTCACTCAGTGCTTCTTCCCATCCCACAGTGACATGACCACATCTGTTCATCTTCCTGGTATTTGGCTCCAGGGAAAAACTCTGCAAACACCAGAATAGATTGGTTTTGCAGCTCTTTTTTCTTCTCTCTTATATACACCATAATTTCACCAGGAAAAGATGAGCCAAAGGCATGGAGGTGAAAAGGTTTGCAGCAGTCCTGATTAAATTACTGGTTTGGAATTTTTCCTCTAAATCTGCCACAAATTTAGACAGGATATTTCCTTAGTTTGGAGACAACAGGCACAGGCAGATTAAAAACCACCTGAAGGATCCCTTCCTATCTCTATCTGTGCCCACACCCTGGAGCTGTGAGCTGATATTTGATGTCACTGCTCTCCTCTCTCAATTCTGGAATTGCTGTGGGTGCTCCAAGAGGCTGTGAAGTCAGAGGCAATGAGATTCTGCCAGGTGTGAAATGCAATTTCACAGAAAGGCTGAAGAACCTCTTTTCCACGTGGCAGATGTGCTATATCACTTAAAGTATATAAAATATACACATATTTTTAGCAACTACAAAATCCAGGGGTTGGATAATCAAATAGTGCATCTAGAATGGCAAATATTTCACTGCTTCATTTATTCTTCCTGGTAAGAGTTATCAATTTGCTCCTCCTGATTGATTTATGTCTTTATGGGAAATACTGACAGATCCAGAAAGGAAAAGGATCTAAAATGGGCATCTCCAACAGAATCCAAAATACCCACAAAGCATCCAAACATTCCCCTCAGCTTCTCCCACGATTAGAACAAATTTGGGACATCTAACCAGCTTCTGCCTTGCTGCAGTTTAACTCTCCCCTGTTTTCCATCACCCCCAGGGAATTTTGTGGAGAATCTTCCATTCCTCTCAAGGCTCTTGTACATTCCCCAGGTCTAATTTCTCCTAAATTAAAGATATCTATATTTTTTTCCCAAATGCCATGATTTTGCGCACTGTGACTGCCCCTGCTGCCTCCCCCTGACCTTTCCTGAAGAAGGTGAATTGTAAACATGCTTACTTCAGGTGAGACCATCTCAGCTCCCAGCAGTCTCTTACAACAACACTTTTCCTTCTATTTTCCAGGATGATTTTTGCCTTTTCTGCCAGACTAACACATCCCAGAGATGTTCCTCCTGCCATCCAGAGGATTTTCCCAATTCCCCCAAGCAGGAATTTCCCAGCCTGTGCTGGTGAGGCCAATCAGGGCTGCCTGGTGAGAATTGCTCTGTGCTTACCGAACCCATCTTTTCTATCCCACACCACTTCCTCAAATTTATCACTTCAAATCCTCCTCCCAAAGGCTGGGAATCCACCCCAGCCCAGGGCCAGCAGCAGCTGCTGCTGCCACCTTGGGCTCTGCATCCCTGTTGGAGCAATTTTCCAGTGAAACACAAAGCTTGAGCCTGATTAAAACACCCAGTTCTGCTTCCCATTAATTTAATCTCTTTTCTTTTGCTCTGGCTGAGTAATAAAAGTATTACGAGACATAACTGCAAAGGCCCTTAGCTATTACATTATTACTATAATTAATCATTATATTGTAACAATTATTTCTATTAAACCCCACCTAGAAGCCTCAGTCGAGATCAAAGTAACTTTAGATCATTATGATCCTGCAAGGTTTGCAGGTTATATGTTCATTTTCTGTTGGGTTTGGTGAACTACAAACCACAACCAAATAAACACCTGAAGACAAAACAATTTGTGGGCTTGCTTTGCTGTTTTTTTAAAAATAATTCTCATTTTAATAACAACAGTGGGGATTTTGTGTCTGCTCAGGTATTCCAGGCTACATCCTCCCTTGCAAAGAGAGATTAAAATGCTCAAACAGTCAAACAATTTGCTTGCTGAATATTTTCATATGCTTGGTAATGATTGCCTGAATCTTTGCCCTCAGACTCAGTAGGATTAGGAAATGGGCTGCATGCAAATATCATTAAAACTGGTTATTTAGAAGGGTGGGTTGGTTTGAGGTCCTCAAATACCAGAAAGCAGAGCAGAAAACATGGCACAGTGACAGAAAAATCCTGATTTACACCCCAGCACTCCGCTGAGGATGGCTGCAGGTTAATAACACATTAATTTTTCTTCCATATTTAATTTTCTTCTCCCTGCATGCATCCTGTGAGAGGAACCTGTCAGGTGTGAGGAGCCCAAGAGCAGCACCAGCTCCCTGAAGCCTCCTGAAATGAATGCTCAGGATGTGCCCTTGGTGTGCCCACAGGAGCTGTGCCCATCTCTGATCGACGACAGCCACGTTTGCTGCTCAGCAACTGCAGAACACAGCAGGGCTTGAGCTCTGGTTTACCTTGATACCTTGGATGTGAGGTGACTCCTAATAGGAAAAATCCCTGCTGCCGACAGGAGCCACCTTTAATTACACAAATGGATTTAATACCAATTGGAAAAGGATTTTTTACATTGCAATGGCTGGAGTGGGATTATTTCCTTCTTTTCCCTTTTTCTAAGTTCTTATTTGTTAATACGCAAAAATAACAATTTGCCAGGAAGTTTTCCTTCCTCTGGAAACTGTGGGAGAAGAAGGCCAACACTCTAAATTGCAAAATTAATGTTATTTCTCCGGTATTTTAGTTTTTGCAGCTCCTGCAATTTCTTTGAAGGAAATCGATATATTTTTTTGCAGCCGAGAAAATCATCGCCAGATTGTTAAAATATTCTGCTACGGCAGAGATGCTCCAAACCATCTGGAAGGATTTCTAGGAGTCAGCACTTCCCCTGCACCCCAGCTGAGAACTTGCCATGCCCTGGGATCCTCCTCTGCCACAATCCCAGCAAGGGCAAGAGGAGTGCAAGGGACAAGGTTGGGTTGGGGGAATGGAGAGGATTCAACAGCCATTGGGAGAAAATACAGAGCAGGGAGCTCAAAGTGCTCCTCTCCCACCAGAAATCCGGTGACCACAGAGGGATGAGGAGCCCTGATGAAAACGAAGCCCTTGGAAGGTTAACAGGGTAAATCTGCCAGGCATTTGTTCTATTTTTTAAGTGCTGAGCAGAGGTTGGAGCATTCTTCATCAGGCAAATGTTCTCAGCAAGTTTTTCAGCTGGGCCTCAGGGCTCTCAGTTTGTAGCTATTTGTGGGCAGAAAAAATGGAAGGGAGAGTTCTTGATTCTGCAACAACTCCTGAGAGCTCTGCTGGCTCCTGGGAACGGGGATCTCCACCTGATGCACACCTCAGGGCTTGGGGAGGAGGAGAAGGGAAAAAGAAGCCTTGGGTACTCACTGAGGTGACAAAAAGGACCATATTTCCATTTTTTAACTGCTAAAAAATAGTAGAAAGCGTCTTTTTTTTTTTACATTGTTTCACAGGTTTTGTGATACTTTTAAGGGATTCCAGAAAACACTCTCCACTGAGGTTGTGCCTGTACAAAAATCACAGCAAGGGAACAGGTGAAGGATGCAAGGGGTGGTACCTTGTCTGCTCACTGAATTTTCACAAACCTCCCTAAGAGCGTACTTTTGGTGGAAACCAAAGAAAGGCACTTGAGCTAAATGTCCCTCTGATCCAGCCCAGCATAATAATTTTCACAGTTTTTAAGAGCAAAAAGAATATTTAGATCTTTCTTCTGACCTTCAGCTTAGTACAAGACATTGCATCAACCTCTCTGCTTGACTCACTCCCATCTTCAGATTATTGAACCTGCTCACATTTTTATATTGTTCTCTGCTTTTTGGGGCCTTCATGGTTCAGGGGAAAAAAAACAAGTGGCATTATTTACATTTTGTTTTAGAGGCGCTACTTTGTGCAAACCTTCCCAAATCCAAAGGGCTGGCATCAATTGGTGCAGTTGCTTGAGTCATATTAACAAAGATCCTCCTTCATCTCCCTTTTCCCACCTTTTAGTCCCAAACCAATAATTTTAGTGAAGAGTACTGAGCACCTTCCACATGCACGTGGAACTCGTGCTTGGCGCTGCCCATGGGGTTGCTGGCCGTGCACTCGTACTTCCCCTCGTCAGCTGCTGTCACTTGGTCAATCTTCAGGGTCTTGCCAAAATTCTCTGTCTCCGGCTCATCCTTGGGCATGTTTCCTGTCACCTTGACCCAGCTGAGATGAGGAGTTGGGCTGAGAACAAAGGAAGAAAAAGAAGATTTTGAGCTGAACACAAGAAGCTGTTGTGATGCTTCACGTGGCAGAGCTGCTGTTCACACCCAGGGTTTGGGAGGTGCTTTTAGGGGATTTTGAGCTTTTAAAGCTTTGAAAACTCTGGGGCTACCTAAGGGTTACACTATCCAGCTGCTCTGCTGCTCCTTGTTCTGCACAAGCCCTGTGAGTGGGATTTTCAGCAGGGCAAAGCTGCATTCCTTGGATGTGCCTTGGCATGGACAGTGGGAAAGGAGCTCATCCCCTCCTGCCCCAAAAGGGCACCTGAGGACAGCCAGGAGGGCCAGATCCATTGAAAGGCCTCTTAGGAGGTGGCTGAAATGCTCTTCCCATGCCTAGAAATAGCCAGAAGTGTCACAGAACTGGGGACAGACGTGGTTGGTGACCCCAACACTCACAGGACAGGTGGCCACAGCACCAGAGCTGCTCCTCCTGTGCCCATCTGTGCCCGTGGCTCCATGCCCAGGTACCCAGAAATTCTGCTGTTCCACCAGCCCTGCAAATACCCCATTATTCCCTCCCAGAGCCCTCATCCCACTCTTGTCCCAAAGCCAGCTCCCAGGCCATGCCCTCCTGACGCTGCCACTGCTCAGGGTATAAATCTTTAAAAAGTGACAGGTTGGAAATGTCCCTAATTCCCTATTTTGCAGTTGGGTGACCCTGAGCTGAGTTCCTTGAAATCCACTTCCATGGTCTGTGGACATTTGGCAGGGTGGACTGGCAGAGATGTAGGCAAAGCTGAGTGTTTTTCTGCTGAAAATGGGAATTTCAGCAAAGAAAAATAACGTTTTATTCTGAGAGTTGGCATTTTTGAAGGATTTCAATGAAAAGGTGTGCTTGGTGATAAGACAAAGAAGTACTTTGTGTTCTTTCAAAAGTGACTGCTTAAAAAAACCCACCTTTTTGCTAAAAAATTAATTTTCTAAAGAGTTTCCTGGAAAATTTAGAGTGAAACAAAAATATTTCTTTCTTTTTACCTTTTTCCAAAGGAACAGAAAGACTTTTTTGGCTTTCTCTTCTTGTATCAGATATTCATGCTTGCACATCAAAATTCATATTTGATTATTCCCAAGGTGATTTCCCTATTAAAACCCCTTGAAAACCCTCTAAAATCAGAGCTGTGGCTTCGGGGGTTGGTGGGGAGTGAATTAGACAAGGAAATGTTGCAACAGGGAAGCAAAACTCACTGCAGATACCTGGAGTGAATCCAACAGAGACAAGTCATTCACCTCCTTTCAGGAATGCCAACTCAACTCCTTGCCAGCTTCCACCAGCAATGCCCTTTCAAGCCCACATGGAAAAAAACAAAATGCCCCAAACATGTGCAGGCAGATAAATATCCTGACTTTGGAATTTTATGGAGGGAAGAGAATCGCAGAGCCTTTAATGGGAATTATCTGGGTGTGAAGCAGAGCCGGCAGCTCCACGTCCAGCACCAGGGGACGGTGATTTAAAGCTCTGCTCCACACAAAGCCCTGTCCCAGCCAAACCAGAGGGACTCTGCTCTCACTGGGGATTCAGGGGGTGCACAGATTCTCTGCTTTTGGGCTGGCAGCTCGAATTCTGCAGTGACAGGCACAGGGCACAAACTGGGACATGGGAAGAGCAAAGCAGGGATCGTGGCTGAGCGAGCTGGAGCAGCAGCAGCAGCCCTGAGAAGGGAATCACAGCTCCTTGTCAGGAGGGAACTCAACATTTATTTCCAAATCCCTTTTCTTATTTACCCTCATTTTGGCCTGTGTTATTTACAAGGAATTTGCTGGATTAAGTGATACATTATAAGTTTTTCTTAGCTTATTGGTTTTTAGCACATTATGTTATAAATGTTTTAAAGCTAATCCTCTAAAATTATCCTTTGTAGGTCCTACTACAATGCATCTTTCATAGTTCTATTTCTCTAAAATATTTAGCCTTATTTACAAAAACACCTTTTAAAACTTATTTCTAGCTCAATTTCTCTCTCAACAATTCTTATTCTATAACAATATCTTATTCTATAATATTTTTAAATCAGTATTTCTTATCTCAAACTTTGTATACAAATACATACTATATGAACTTTTCGTCAAGCTTTAAGACTTCTCTACAAATTCATTTCCCACAAAAATTGTCCTTTATGATATCCCATCATAAAGCAGTTAGTTTAACCCTTCCCTATATTCCCTTGCTGAAGGGACTCAGCAAGGTGGAGAGAGATTATTTTAAAAAGCTTGAACAGGACAAGGGGGAATGGCTTCAAATTGAGACAAGGTTTAGAGGGGATTTAGAGGGGTTTTTAGGAAAAAATTGTGGGCAGGCCCTGGCACAGGGTGCCCAGAGAAGCTGGGGCTGCCCCTGGATCCCTGGCAGTGCCCAAGGTTTGAGATCTGCCCTTTGCTGCTGGATTGGTCAGGATCACACTAATACATCTGATACTTGTTCACTGTATTCATTCAAGAACTTTGTTCTTAGAAAACTGAGATCTTACACCTGGAAAATCTTAAATTTTGAGCACTGAAGCAAAACTGAATTGGCAAAACCAGAAAAAAAAAATTACAGGTTGTGAACAAAAGCACTGAAGCTGATGCTGACATCATTTAGTTTCTTGACATCTCAAAAGCAGCACTAGTGAAAAAAAATCAGTTTTTAAGATAGAAAAATTAAAAATAAATCCATACTTACCACACAATGGTTTTAATGACTTGTTTACAACTACAGCAATAGCCAACACACTATTGTTGCCTGCACTCTGTGCTGCTTTACAGGTACAGAAAGCTCTGCACTGCAGTTGCATTTACAACTGTTGCATAATTTGTAATACCCCTTTTTCTTTGCTCATTTCTCCCTCCAAAGGTGATTAAGTTTGTGCAGCATTTTCATACTCACAGCCCTTCAGCAATGCACTCGAGGAGCAGGACACCTCCCTTGATGACAGTGACTGATGAGCTACTGCCAGCAGATTCAGGAGGGATCAGCAGCTTGGGCTTCCTTTCCTTGATAAAATTTGCTGAAAGATAAAATAAAACAGAAGTTAGGTGAGAAATCTCAGATATTCTTCAATAATGCCACAAATATCACTGCTGGCAGGTTTCTGACAGCCATTTGTGTGGGGGTTTTTTATTTATCTACTCTGAGACTAATCCACAGCCCTGATAACAGTCAGAAGGGAGGTGCAGTGATATCAACAGGCAGCAGGGATGGGAAAACCCTTTTCCTACAGTTTTATATCCAGTTTTCCAAGCACTGGCTCTTCCTATCACCCTTCTGATCCTCTCAATTCCTGATCTTTAGGTTCACATCTCCTTTCTTTGCACCTTTCTTCTGCACTGGCTCCATCACCTTTTAAACCTCAGGTGAAACCTCACCTTTCCTGACCTGAGCATCCCACAGAACTGTCCCTCCTGCTCCAATTATAAAATCTACAGTAATGGAGATATAATTTGTAAGGGAGACTGTAAAAATAATAAAACAAGATTGAGCTGCACTTGATTCCAACAGCCCATTTGTTCCAGCCTGCCAAACAAGGGTTTTAGGATGAAAAATGTACAGGGTTCAGTGGCTGCCCAGTTATCACTATCATAACAATTAGCACACTAATGAATCAGTCCCCAAATGGTGCTAGTTCTTTAAAAAATAGCCAGTTATGGATGGTTTGGTAAAAGACCACATAGATCTCCCTGAACCATTTTCTCATTTTTAATTTTAATTTCCCCTTGCTTTGTATCTGTGCAGATCTGTGTCACAAGAGCCCTGAGTGCAGCAGGACACGTTGGTGCCTCTGGACACTCTCACACATTTCCCATCTGCCCTCCACCTCCTGCTGCCAAAGGCAGCCAGGCTCCTTCCCAGCACGAGTTCAGCCATCCCTTGGAGGGAAAAACTGCTCCTGGTGGGCAGCCACAGTGCACAAAGGCTGCCTGTGCTGCCCCAGGGCTCAGCTCCATGGCAAAGTCAGGGCAGTGAGGAGAGCTCTGACTTATCCATCCCAAAACACTCCAGGATAACCTCCTT